TCACTCTGTCACCCAGACTGGAGTGCAGTGGCCGCTCCCAGCCACTTCAGCCTCAACCTGCCGGGCTCCAGCGATCCTTCCGCCTCAGCATTCCAAGTAGCTGGAACGACAGGCGCGTGCAACCATGTCCAGCTAATTTTTGATTTATTGTAGAGATGAGGTCTCGCCAAGGTGCCCAGGTGGGTCTCGAACCCGTGCACTCAGGCAATCCACTCACCTCAGCCTCCCAAAGAGCTGGGATTACAGGCTGAGCCACCGAGCCTAGCCCCTTGAAAGACATTTATAATAAATTGTAAAAAATGTACAGAATAGTGTCTCCAATTTATATATATATGCATGTACATATAACTGTGTATTTGTGTAAGGATATATATTATATTGGAATAAATAATACTTAAATATGTATTTAAGAATATCTAGAAAGTATATATTCTCTAACTGTACATATATACACATATATGTATATATGTAGAGATTAAAGGTCTGAGGGATTTATTCAACGGTGGCAGTTGTCTCTAGGAAATATAGGCTGGGGGTAGGGATAAGAAGACCATTATTATTTTTTTTAATTATAAAAATAAATGTCCATTATAAAAAGAAAAAGCTCAAAGTGAAACTTATATTCTTCAAAGTGAAACTTATATTCTTCAAAAAATATGTAAAAATCTAAATTAAGCACTAGTCTTCCTAATAGCACTTATTTAGAAGTTCATCTTCTTAGTAATTTGAGATGCTACCTTTATTGTATCTGTGCCACTGAGTCTATTTCTGGATTTTCTCTTCAGTTCTGTTGGGCTGTTTATGTGTCAATACAAAATTTTTCATTAAATCAACAATTATGAACACCTTTCAATATCTATAGTTTAATAGTTGTATGGTACTGCATTGCATAAATGTATTAAAACCGGTGCCTTACTTTTCAATTACAAAAATATTGCTGTGAGATCCTTGAAAATGTATCATTGACTACTTGAGTGTCTCTTTAAGTGAAATTTAGATATGGAATTCCTGGGGCAAAAAGCACACACATTTTAAAATTCTTATAGTTTTTGACAAGGAAGAGTTAGTATGTGTCCGGGTCTAGTGGGGCTGGTGCCCTCTCATTCTTCCTTCTCAGTTTTCATGGTTATTCTAGTATGTTCTCTTTAAAAAAATGTCATTTTTATTGGGATGACATTTATAAAAATAACCTAGAGGAAAGATATGTTTTGATGTTGAGTCTTCCTAAGACCATGGTGTATCTTTTCATCTGTTCAAGTCTACAAAAATTTTCCTCATGTAGGTTTTAAACAAGTTTTATATTACGTTTTCACGTAAAGTCCTTTTTTTGTTTTTGCTATCATAAAGGGGGTCTTCTCTTTAAGCAAGTCTTCTAACTAGGTTTGTGTATATATGAAATCTTTTAATTCCTTTTAGTAAACATTTTTATTGAACTATAATATACATACAGAAAAGTGCACAAATCTTTAAATATACAGCTGAATAAATATTCACAAGGTGAATGCACCTATGTAACCAGCACCTAGATCATGAAACAGAACATTACCAGCACCATAGAGTCCCCTTGTACCCTCTTCCATGCCAACGAATTAAAGCCAGTTGAAAGATAATGTATACAATATGGTTCCACTTATATAAAGTTCAAAAACAGACAAAATGAATTGACGGTAGGTTAAGTCACGATAGTGCTTACCTTTGGGAAGAAAGGTAGCGACTGAGAGGGGATGCTGATTTCTGATATCACACATAAACGTCACCTGTTTTGAACTGAGTGAAATCAGAGTATACACTTTTTGCATCTGGTGAAGGCTATTAATATCTGCATGCTAACTGCTACTTTACTAAGTTCTTTTACAGTTTAGTGTTTTGACAAATTCCTTTGGGTTTTCCAAATATATATTGTTATCTGCAAATAGTTTTACCTCCTTTTCAATTCACGTCTTTATTTTGTCTGACTTCACTGGCTTAAACTCCCAACACAGTGTTAAGTAGTAGAGGAGACAATGGGAATATGTCTTGTTCCTGACTTCAGTTGGAAAGACACGTTTGTTTTGACAATAAGATGCTGGCTTTTAGGCAGAGGTACAATGTTAATAAATTACGCATCAACTTCTACTTACTGAATATATTCAACATAAATGAGTGCTCAATTCTATCACATGCCTTTTCTGCAAAAATGAAGATAATCATATAATTTTTTCTTCAACTCTCAACATATTAATAGATTAATACTGAATTATCCTTGAATTGTTATAATAAACTCAACTCAGCTATGATTTATTACCTTTAGAAAGTACTGTTGAATTGTTTGCTAATATGTCACTAAAACTTTTTCATTAATATTTGTGAGATTGGTTTATAATTTTCTTTCTAGAATAATCTGTCAGTTTTTGAATCAATGCTATTATATGCACTTTACAAAATGAATTTAGTGGTTTTTCCTTTTTTTTTTTTTTTGGCACTTTGAGATTTAAGATTCTTCTTCTAGTCTCTAGAACTGTTTAAGCAAGAGTGAGATTACTTAATTGTAAAGGTTTGGTAGAAGCCCCCTTAAAACAACCTGGGTCTGATTTTTTTTTTAAGAGGTACTTTTAACTATTTGCTGCTTCTATGGTAATTGGTTTGTTTTGACTTTCTGTACTTATAGTAAATTTTGGCAATTTGTATTTCTCAAAAAAGTTAATGCTTTCAATGTATACAATTGCTCAAAGTAGTCAATTTTTAAACTTTCCTGTTTTATCATTTTGCCCTTGCATTTAAATTTTTGTATTGCTGCTTACTGTTTTTCTTAAATAGGTTAGCTGGTGGTTTGTCTATCTCACTAAACCCCCTGCCCCTCCCACACCAACCCCTGCCAACCTTCTGGATTTATTTATTGGCTGTTTTGGTTTTCTACTAGTATATTGCTTTTTGTTTTTATCTTTACTAATTCCTGTCTTCTGCTTTATTTTGGTTTGCTTTTTAGAGTTTAAGACTTGGTTGTTCAATTTTCATCTTTTCCCACTTTTATTGATAGAGGAATAAATACTATAAATTTCCTGTCTCACTGCTGCTTACATTTCTGGAAATGTTAGGTTTTCTGTCATATAGCCATGACTCTCTGGTGTGCTTTCATTGTCTGTGTAGATGATAATCTACTTTCTCTTATTTCTTATATTAATATTGAGTGAGATTCGACTGTAATTCTGTTGCTCTTTTTTTCTCACTTAAATGAAATGAGTTTTCCTGTACTTTTAGGAGGGAAATGTGGCTTCAAGGCCCTAGAGCTCCCTTTTCATTTTCAGTGATTTAAAAGATTATATGGCTGGGTGTAGTGGCTCACATCTGTAATCCCAGCACTTTGGGAGGCCAAGGGGGGAGGATTGCTTGAGCACAGGAGTTCGAGACCAGCCAGACCTCATGTCTACTCAAAAAAAAATTATATGCTTGTGTATATATATACACAAATACATACGTAAAGTGTCTATGCATTTTGGCCTTCCTTCCCAACATTTCTCTCTTTTTTTTGGTCCTACTGTGCTCATCCTGCCCAGTTTGGATTCTAATTGTAGCAGTTTCTCCTTGGTCCTGGGCCTTGTCTCATGAACTTCAAGAGGCAATTGGTATAAGGTCCAGACTGTTCTAGCACAATCATCAGACCTCATCATATGCTTGAATACTCACCTGTAAATGGGATTCTAGAACCCTTTGCAATTTCAGCTTCTGTTCTCAGATTGGCCCACTGTGCTTTGTAGTTAGAAACTGTGGGCAGAGTTGTAGTTCTCCAATTTGCAAAACTTGTCAGAAACCATCTGCCTTCCACTTCCTCCCACACAGATGCTGAAACCATGTGGGTCATTGGTTTGTCTCACTTAGTTGTATTCTGAGGTTATGGAGATACCCTGTCATCTAGTTTTATAATAGTGTCTGTGGCTATCCTTGTTGCTCTATACTCTTATGGGGAGCTTCAAAAACTACACTACTGTCATCGTCTTCCCTGAGTAAGGTTTAAATTATAACAATAATTTTATATTTATGAAAGAAACTATAATTAGGAATTTGCTGTACTTCTGGTCCCATGTAAAGTGTTTTACGTGTATTATTTAATCCTCAAACAATGCTGTCAGTTGGTTTTACCTATTTTCTTCGTCTTACCAATGGGAGGGTTAAAGTCCAAGATCACTCTATTGAACTGGCAGACCTGGGATTTAAACTCAGGTGGGGGTGGGGGACACGGTGGGGGAGGGAGTAGAGAGTGTGATGCAGATTTATTTGAGATGTTGAACTTCATATTTCCCATCTCATTGTATTATCCCAGCTAAAGAAAAAAGTGTTTATGTGAAATATTGCTTATAATTAATTTTATTAATAAATATTCTTCTTGTAAGTAACTATTTAAAAAAGTTAGGAATAGTTTTTCCACAATTCACAGTGGCCTGCTAATTTTTGGTCCATATGTTGCTATAGAATGTGAACACTCACAGTTCATAAAGTTTCACAAGAAGGTCTCCCACAAGTGTATCAATTAGGATCATACTATAATCTATCTTTTATAGTATTACATTATTTAAGGAGTTAGAAAATATTTAGTTTTATTTAATACTTTTAGATTGAAATTTTTTCTCTTTCATTTATGAATACAGTCACTATTTTTTAGAATCTAGTCACTCATGGTGATTCAGGAAAAACAATCTGGATTTCTTAGATAGACCTAAAGTCATTACAAATATGCTATTTTAACTCCAGAAGTCTAAGTGACAATCTAGTTTGAGATATAAATGTCTTGATTTTCTAGGCTTTAAATTAAGAAGCAAGTGGAATAATTCATAGAAGGATAACATCTGTTGTTAAGCTTATTCCCCCCCACCATCAGAAGATGTATTTTATTTCTAATTCATACTGATGCTTGTAGAATTAAAAATTCAATATCTGTTATCACCAAGACTAATTTAAACCCAACTCCTTTAGTGAAGAGATTTCCTTCTCCAGAACTAGACTCATATATTTGAATGACATTTAAGCAAGTGATAAATATCATTTATTGATAAATTGATTACTAATAAAAAGTTTTTATACTATCTCCTTTATAATTAGTAAGTTCACAGACGTCAGAAAACAAAACAACAAGCAAAACCAAACCGCAGTTTTTACCCTCTAAATGGTTACATTTCCCTCTCACTTGAAAATATAAAAATATAAATGACCATGTATAGAGTTGTACCACTGAATTTACTTGAGTGGTTCTGTTTTTGTATTTAATTTGAAAAAATTAGAAAATTATTAGTTTGAAATTAGAGCAGCTACCACTTACACTAAGGGAAACAAACTAAAAAAAGAAAAACATCCAAATGGCTAAAAAAAAAACCCAGTTATAAAAAGTACAATTTACAGTATCACATATCTCAGAAAAATAAAAACACTAAATGTCTTTCCTTCTAGGCAAAAGAGATTGTTTTTTCTCCAGAAAGCAAAAAAGGCAACTAATGATTTGAGAATAAAATCAAATATAACTGTATTCACCAAAGCAGTATGTAAGTAAATGACCCACACAGCACAAAACTTTCTCATTCACAATTACATACAGTTAAATTCCTTTTCTTTGTTACATAATAGTCTTCTTAAAACGATCTCCCTTTAGAAAACCATATTAGTTAAGCCTATTTATTCTTATTATGAAGTTATTAATTGCATTTGTATAGTCCATACAAGTTTAATTGGCACACTTTACTTAAGAATAAAATAAGTCACTCTTCTTTAAAAAATTATGGAATCTATCTGTTTTCAAATAATCCCAGATTCTTAATTCATTAAAGCAAATATTCTACCATCAGCAGTCAAGCTTTTAAAATGATCACTAAGTGTTCAACCTGAAGATTATCAATGCTATATGAAGTGTAAACTTGTTTTAAAGATTCATGTCCATTTCATAAGATATAATTTGTACTGAAGAATTTTAAAAAGATAACCTACATACATACAGTTAATTTGCTCAAAGAACATCTTAGAAATACAGTATAAACATTTAAGAACCACGACAGAGTTGTGGCTCAAACTTCAACAAAGATTTTCTTGAAACCCAGGACAAAGGTTATGGGCTCAAGACCATATCCCAAAGTGACATCAGTATGAGATTTGATTGTAAGACTACCTCTTAAAAAAAGAGCACACTTGGTTATACATGGCTTTTAACCTTGAGCTACAGTTGTGCTACAAATCCCCCCACCCTCCCAAACTAAAGTCAGTCATGTGGAAATATGTATATTCTCTGAGCACTGTTTAGAATCCTTAGTTTTCCAGCTTTGATGGAGATCTAAAAGGCGTTCAGAAGTCCGTGTGCTTACATTCAGAGCAGGATGAACTTTACAGATTCCACTTTCCTCCATTAGTGACAGGCCACAGATCCCAAAGTATGCATGCAAAGCATCTGAAGAGGAGGCATTTAAACAAAAATCATAATGGTCAGTATCACATGCTATATTTTAGCTACATATCTACCAGTCCATCACTACGCTAAAAAATAAATTTAGAAAAACGGTAAATATGGCTTTTAATAATATTTTCTTTCTCGAAGTCTCAAAATTTTTTTTAAAAACCACATTATCAAAATAAAATATTTTTCTCATGAAAATACCATTAACAAAGGAGAACAGTTCCCAGTTGAAGAGGTAACACTGCCAACAATGTGGTTAAAAGACAGAGAGGAAGAGAAAGCAGTCATATATAGGTAAGACTCATACTTAACGGAGTTTTCCTTTTTGCTTACTACAAAACATAGAAAAAAGTAGCTTCAACGCTGTCTTATAAATGGAAAGTTTTTTCTTAAAAATAAACACAAAACTTTGAATCTAAGTAGCAATGCTCATTCCCCCAATTTTTACCTCTGACAGTTTCTAAACCATATACAGTACTATCCTAATATTGTGTTAAATTAAAGGAGCTTAAGCAAAAATAATCCATTCTGGAATGTTGTGCTATATTTAATCCTCCTATTTAGGGTAACGTCAGTCATTTTAAAAATATCTGATCTGACAATAAAAACAAACTCACATTCTACTTGGTTATAATAATATGAGTGCTCATACCATAACAATTCTTCTGCACTGGCCTCACTAGTTTCCCATCTTTCAGTGGGCAGCAATCCTCTTCTATTAAAGTGGCCACTGAAATCACATGGCCAGTGCCCGCCTGAGAGCCTTATATAGACGTCTGAAGAGCTCAGAGCTCTGCAGTTACAGGAACACTACAAAGACAGTTTTGTAGCAGTCAAGAATTTTTTCTATTTTTGAATTGGTTAGCATTTTTGGTCTCAAGAGCTATAAAGTTCAAAACATCTTCTCAAGTCAAACTTTATCAATAAAATTAAAACGTTTTACTTACATGAGTATTATTTATTTTTCAAAATAGAAATGACAAATAGTTGTGCTTAGTGTCATCTATGAAAAAGTTATTTCACTAATGGCGACCCATGTTAATCACCTTTCAGGTCTTTTCAGAAAATGCTTAGATTTCTTCTTGGCTCACTTCCCTCTAATTTTCAAGACTACGAAGAATAAATTTGATTTTTCCTGTACTATTACATCATTCCATATAGTTATTCTAAACTTACCAAGGGTGCAAAGCAAAATGAAATTTTATTTTCTAGAAACTAGTAATTTTCTTAAGAAAAAAATGCAACAGAAAATATAATCAATGTCCATAATAATACAAAATAGAATCTGTGTAAGGCTAAAGTCTCTCTGGATAAAGTAAAAATTAAACTTATTTTTTTCTCAAAAAGATTTCTGTAAAAGTCACTTTTAAACTTCAAATTATTATTATTATTATCATTACTATTATTTTTTGAGTAGGAGTCTTACTTTGTTGCCCAAGCTGGAGTGCAGTGGCATGCTCACGACCACTGCAGCCTCAACCTGCTGGGCTCAGGAGATCCTTCTGCCTCAGCCTTCCAAGCAGCTGGAACCAAAGGTGTGGGCCACCATGCCCGGCTAATTTTTTTGATTTATTGAAAAGATGAGTAGCCCAGGCTGGTGTCGCCCCCTGGACTCAGGGAATCCACTCGCCTTCACCTCCCAAAGTGCTGGGATTACAGCTGTGAGCCACTGCACCTGGTTCAAATAATTTTTTAAAAACATTTGGCTGGACGTGGTGACTCATGCCTGTAATCCCAGCACGTTGGGAAGCTGAGGTGGGAGGATCACTTGACGCCAGGAGCTTGAGACCAGCCTGAATAACATAGTGAGGCCTTGTCCTACAAAAAATTTAAAAAGTAGCCAGGCCTGGTGGCACGCATCCGTGGTTCTAGCTACTTGGGAGTCTGAGGTAGGAGTATTGCTTGAGCCCAGGAGTTCAGGGTTACAGTAAGCTATCATAGTGCCACTGTACTCCAGCCCAGGTGGGACAGTGATATCCTGCCTCAAACAAACAAAAAGAAACCCAAACAACTTTTATCTGTAGGTGGTGATGTAGTCAAACACTTTAGATATTGAAATACATAATTACTCCATAATAACATATTATTCTTCTGAAGTTTCTTGTATAAATGTATATAAAATCTTTATGTCAAATCTGTTACTGCATTTACTAGAGCCAAGAATATGCTAATTTTAAAAAATTGTGTTAAAATGATTTTTTTAAAGGTACTAGAAACAGGTCTTTCCACATAAATTTAACTTATCATACAAACACTTTATATGCTCTCAAGTGTATACACTGAGGACACTGTTATATATCTGTGAAAAGTATGTATTACTTCCAAATAGTTAAACAAATATTAAAGTTCACAATTAATCTCTCTAGAAAAAAGCTTCAAGAACTTTTTTTAAAAAAGGCTATTGGAAATACTTAATGTATTTCAAGTATGTTTTATACAAGAAATGCTTTCTAAGACATTATTTTCCGATTCCCATTTTTTGTTAAAATAGTATCCTATACTGATTGAAAAATGGCACCAAGACCAAAATAATTTTCAGTTTTCTGAGGCACTTTTCTAGCATGTTTATAGCTTTATGTTTTAGATACCAAACATTTCAAAATATTGTTTTGCTTTAGAAATTCATTTTTGAAAACATACTTTGGCTTTTGGCTTATGACTTTGACAGCATTGTACTTTTTTAAAGGAAGCATGTTTTACATGAAAATATAGACATGTATGAATGTGAGGAAATATTCCTGCTCATTTCATGTATAAAAATATAATTTCATGAATCTCTTATTTATACTTTAATTCAAGTACACATTTATAATAGTTCTATGATAGAAGATGAGTTGAAGAGGTACTTTCTAGACTGCTAATAAAAACCATGCTTCCATTGCAATGCCACAAAAACCATCATTCCTTACATCTATTTTCATACATTTATAGCTAATTCTTTGATTACTTGCTTACAAAAAATGTCAGTGTTTTGAGTTATTTTAACAAACTCTTACACTAATTTTTATGGGGAAGCTGTAAATAGATTCATTTTGCTGGGGTGGGGGCCATAGGTTGGAGAATGATAATAGAGGTAGAAGAGGAGCCACCTTTGGGGAGGATCTTGAGGTCTTGCCACTCATAGTGTCTGAATCTATTTAATTTCTGATTTTTAGACAGTGAATGATGAGAATACAGATAGGAAGATATTCATCTAAAAAAGTTACCTGAATCTGCTGAAATTTGGAGACGAGCATGGGCAGTGAGAAACACCTCTTATTCAGGATTTGAGGTTTTTTTCAAATTTAGTGACTTCTGAGAAGAGAAAGAACTGGATCCCTTCGGGATTGAGAGCAATTTATTCTTCTTAGCTCAAGTCAAAACTAATAATCTTAATGATTTTGGATGGGCCAAATAATTCTCTACTTTGGAATGAACCCATTCAGACCATCTGCTTTACTGTCGCAAATTAAATAAAACACTGCTAAGTGACATTTCTGGGGGAAAATGCACACTCTACCAATATATTTTGATAACCCCTCTATTTCCCAAAATCCTAAATCTATCCTAGGTTTAAATAACCTACCTTTTTTTTTTTTTTTGAGTTGGAATCTCACTCTGTCGCCCGGACTGGAGTGCAGTGGCCGCTCCTGGCCACCGCAGCCTCGACTTACTGGGCTCCGGCGATCCTTCCGCCTCAGCCTTCTGAGTAGCTGGAATTACAGGCATGCGCCACCATGCCCAACTGATTTTTTTTTTGATTTATTGTAGAGATGAGGTCTCGCTGCCCAGGCAGGTCTTGAACCCACGGGCTCAGGCAATCCACTCACCTCAGCCTCCCAAAGGCGCGGGATTACAGGCTGAGCCACCGAGCTCGGCAATAACCTACCTTTTAAAAAACATATTATTTAGCTGAGCATAGTGGCTCACGCCTATAATCCCAGCACTTTGGGAGACTGAGGCAAGAGGACTGCCTGAGCCCAAGGGTTCGAGACCAGCCTTGGCAACTTGGCAAGACCTCGTCTCTACAATAAATCAAAAAATTAGACAGGCGTGGTGGCACTTGCCTGTAGTTCGAGCTGCTTGGAAGGCTCAGGCAGAAGGACTGCCTGAGCCCAGCAGGTCGAGGCTGTGGTGGCCATGAGCATGCCATTGAACTTCAGCCTGGGCGACAGAGACTCCAACTCAAATAAACAAGCAAACAGAAAAAACCAAAACATATTATTTAATATAACTTTACAACTGTGACTACATTTTCTATCATATGCCTTTTCTAATAAAGATGCTTGAAGATCAACTCAAGAAAAACAAATTGTTCTCGATTTATACAGAAAATAATTACCTGGATGACTGTCTGGCCATTTGGCAAATCCTCCTATGAGGCGATCTTGAGTTGATAAGATGTAATTTCTATTTTTCTCAAAGTTAGTATATTGGAAAATTTTCAGAAGCTGAAATGACATGACATAAAAATTTGCTGAAATAGGACTTTCATATTCACCTTTGGCTCAAATTTCAGATATGTATCATTTAGATGTGCTTTTCTCTGGCTAAGATGCTCAGGTAAGCCTCTGGAGACTTGAGCACTCAAAAATAGTCTACCACATTATCTTTTTTTATCTTCTTATTGAATCTATTCTTTTTTCTTGATCCACTCACTATTTTCTTCGTCTGAACCAGGCCCAACTAGATTCAAAAGACAACTTCTCTAATTCATTCAATATAACCAGTCATTTTAAGAAATGCAATTTTATCTACCCGTATTTTAATTCTTATGACAGAGCTATTAGTCACAAACCAGTAATAAGTGAAACTAAAAATATTTCAGAAAGGAGCAAAAGAAAGTATTAGCCACATGCTAGAGACAGTTTTGTTTGAGAGTAGTAAAAAAAACAACTATTTAATTAGGAAAGCAGGTGAGACAAATATGACCGCGACATAAAAAATAGGTAGCTTAATGGTTTAGGACATGTATTTGTCTTTTCTTTCAAAATCCCATTAAAAACAAAATAAAAATAAATAAATAAAACCTTGAAGACCAGGCTGGGGTGGGCTTCAAGTAAGAGAACTCAAGAAATTCTAAGGATACAAAGCAATTTAAAGTGTGTTAATGAATCAGAGAGACACTGAAGATGCTACTAACTGACAAAGAAGTATTATTTCTCAAAAAAAAAAAAAAAGCTGATCCTGTAAAAAAGTTATGGTATAAATAAGAAATAAATGTATTCATTTATTTTTATTTGATTAACAGAATATAAAGAGGCTCTTTAGCATTTTGATGCTAGGAACACTCCCATCAAGTGATGTATAGGTCATTACATAAAATGAAGATGTTATGATCATAACACTGTGCTTGGTTTAGCAATAAACAATAGTTAAGCTATCATAATAAGTGTTGTTTCTGGTCTTCAAATTTTAGAATCAACCTGCAGACAAAGCATGAAAGGTTTCATAATTATTACTGAATAGAATGAGTGTTACCTAACTTGACAAGTAAAGCTAAACTTCTAGCACTAGAAGGTGAAAAAGAAAGGGGGCAGAGCTAAAAATAACATTATGAGTAACAAATTGCTGGGGGAAAAAAGATTAAATCTTAACTTTTCATCGTTGTGACTCAAAAATATCTAAAGGTGATAAGAAATCAGTATATTATTTAAGGTTATTGTATGTCTATAAGAATTATAATTTTAAAAAAATGTTTAAAAGTGGTTGCCTTCAGAAAGTTGTCAAAGACTACCAAGATCATATCAGAAAGATTCGAGACAACTTGAAGGGGTGCCCACTGCCTAAAGATGGAACAATTTGAGCATTAAAGAGAAGACTATAATGGACAAAAACATATAAAATGTTAAAATCTATGAGTTCACAATGATTCTCAAAAAAAGAAAATCCTAAAACCTAAAATGTCATTGGAAAACTTGAGAGGATGCTAAGGAACCAACTTATTTTACTGAACACAATTAAAATTAAAATAACTCAGTATTAATCTGTTCATCTCTGTAACAACTATACCAGAGATTAAGGTAATTCTTTGGAAAAGGTTAATTAATAAATTTAGAAGGAATGACAGAATACCACCATTTTGCAACCCCTTACTGACACAACTCACATAATAAACAATGATCCTAATGTCTGCTAAAACATAATGCTTATTTAAAAAAAAAAAAGTTGATGGGGTTTCCATACACTAGCAATGAACAATCCAAAGGGAAATTAAGAAAGCAATTTCATTTATAGTAGCATCTAAAAGATACTTAGAAATAAATCTTACTAAGCAGGTGAAAGACTTGTATGCTGAAAACCACAAAACATTGCTGAAAGAACATAAGGACCACCTATATAAATGGAAAAACATCCTGTGCTCATGAATAGGAAGATTTAACATTGTCAAGATGTCAATACTGCCCAAAGTGATCTACAGATTCAATGCAATCTCAAACTCTAACAACATATTTTGTAGACATAGGAAAGTCACTCATCAGATTCATAACTCTTTCAAGGCACTCCAAAACAGCCAAAACAATCTAGAAAAGGAAGGTCTCACACTTCCTGACTTTAAAATTTACTACAAAGCTGCAATAATTGAAACAGCTGGTATTGGCACAAAGACAGACATAGAAAAATGGGGCTAGGCTCAGTGGCTCAGTCTGTAATCTCAGCACTTTGGGAGGCCGAGGTTAGAGGACTGCCTGAGTCCAGCAGGTTCGAGACCCACCCCGGCAATTTGGCGAGACCTCGTCTCTACAATAAATCAAAAATTAGCCGGGTGTGGTAGCGCACACCTGTAGTTCTGGCTACTTGGAAGGCTGAGGCGGAAGATCACGGTGACTGGGAGCGTGCCACTGCCCTCCAGTCTGGGTGACGGAGTGAGACTCCAACTCAAAAAGAAAAATGGAATTAAATAAAGTCCAGAAACCAACCTCACATATATGGTCAGCTGACTTTTGACAAGGATGCCAAGACCATTTGATGAGAAAGGACAGTCTTCAAAAAATGATGCTAGGAAAACTGAATATCCACATGTCAAAGTATGAAGTCTGGTCTTACCTTACGTTACATTCAAAAATTAACTCAACATTGACGATAGACCTAAACTTAAGGCCTAAAATTATCAGAAGAGAAAACACTGGGGAAAAATTTGATGACACTGAATTCAGCAATAATTTTATAGATATAACACCAAAAGCACAAGCAATAAAATAAAAACTAGATAAAATTGGACTGCATCAAAATTATATTCTCTAGGATACTACCAACAGAATGAAAAGACAGCTCAAGGAAAGGGAGCAAATATTTGCAGATCATATATCTGAGTATGGATTACTCTCCAGAATATATGAAGAACTCCTACAACTCTACAACAACACTCTACAACAAAAAAAATCTGATTAAAAAATAGGCAAAGAACTCGAATAAACCATTTATCTTAAGAAAATATACAAATGACTAATTACATAAAAATATGCTCAACATCACTAACCATTAGAAAAATGCAAACTGCCAGGCTCGGTGGCTCAGCCTGTAATCCCGCGCATTTGGGAGGCTGAGGTGAGTGGATTGCCTGAGCCCAAGGGTTCGAAACCCGCCTGGGCAGCGAGACCTCATCTCTACAATAAATAAAAGATCAGCCAGGCGTGGTAGCACATGCCTGTAATTCCAGCTACTTGGAAGGCTGAGGCAGAAGGATCGCCGGAGCCCAGCAGGTTGAGGCTGCAGTGGCCAGGAGCGGCCACTGCACTCCAGTCTGGGTGATAGAGTGACTCCAACTCAAAAAAAAAAAAGAAAAACGCAAACCAAAATGAGGTAACACTTCAAACCCATTAGAATGGTAATTATTAAAAAAGTAAACAAACAAGTGTTGGTAAGGATGTAGAGAAACTGGAACCCTGATACACTGCCAGTGGGAAAGTAAAATGTTGCAGCTGCCGTGGAAAAGTTTGGCAGTCCCCCAAATGTTAAACACAGAACTACCATACGATCCAGCAATTTCACTTCTAAGTATAAACAGTACTCTCTCCAAAATGCAAGCAGGGACTTGGAACATATATGTACAGTCATGTTCATAGCAGCATTATTCACAACAGCCAAAAGGTGGAAACAACTCAAGTAAAAGAAAAATGAATAAGCAAAATGTAACATACATAAGCTATGGAATATTATTCAGTCATAAAAAGGAATGAAATTTTGCCACGCTACAACATTAAACCCTGAAAATATTATGCTAAGTGAAATAAGCCAGAAACAGGAGGACAAATATTGTGTGACTTCATCTAAGTGAGGTATCTAGAGTAGACAAATTGATAGAGATGAAATGTAGATCAGAAGTAAGTAGGGGCTGAGAAAACAGGAGAATGGGGAGTTATTATTTAGTGATATAGGATTTATGTTGGGGGTAAAGAAAAAATTGTGTGCGGTGGTGATGATTATACAACACTGTGAATGAAATTAATGCACTGAATTGTACACTTAAGTTAAGCTGATCATCATACTATGTGTATTTTGCCAATTAAAAAAAAAAAAAAACAAAAAAAAACCCTGATGGAAATTTTATAATGGAAACATCAGTTTGACAACTCTGGAGCCCTTTGATAAAAGGAAAGACAACAGATATTATGTGCCTCTTAATATGATTCAATAAGACATATAAATTATCACTGGATCTTTAATGATAATAAGCAATTATGGCTAATTTTTATTTGTAATATTAAGGTCTTGTTTTTAAAAAAAATTTCTTTAATTTAGACACTATACTGAAGAATTTCCAAATAATATAAAAAACTGTATCTGGGATTTGCTTTAAAATAATACAGTGAATGGGGGGGAAGTAGGTAGGACTATGGATGAAGAAAGATTGGTTTTGGATTGATAACTGTTGAGACCGGTTGATGGACTATGGGGGGGTTCATACACCATTCTCTCTACTTTCAAATATTTTTGAAACTTTTTACAATTAAAACATAATAAGATGATGCATCTGAGAAACAGCACTAGAAACAAGGTTTCCTTACACACTGCCTGCATTTTAAACCATTCGTTTTCAAATTTGTTTCAACCTTATACATGAATTTTGTTTTAAGACAAAAAACTAGGATATTATACACAAGATGAACAAAGACTCCTATTAGATTCCAGAATATCAGAACAAGATGACAATTCTTGAAGATGAAAAGAAAAGTTTTAGATAAAGAAAACCTGTGGATATTTAGTAAATAAAGAACCTTATGGAGTTAGGTATATTAAAAGTTAGTAGAGATGGGGGGAAATGTATGGGCATGTCAATCAATGAGTTTCAGAAGATTTAGACAAAAAAGAAAAAAAAACTTTAAAAAACACTCATCAGGCGTGGAGTCACACCTGTAATCCCAGCACCTCTGGGAGGGTGAGGTGAAGGATCGCTTGAGGACAGCCTGGGCAATATAGTGATACCCTTTTCTCTACAAGAAAATATTTAAAAATTAGCTGGGCATAGTGGTGTGCACCTGTAGTCCCTAGCTACTTGGGAGGCTGAGGTGGGAGGATCTCTTGAGTCCAGGAGTTGAAGGCTCTTGTGAACTGTGATTGTGTCACTGTACTCCAGTCTGAGCTGCAGAGGGAGACCTTGTTTCCAAAAAATAAAACAAAGTTTGTCTTTTAAGATTAATCCCTTCTCATAAAACCTTTGCTTGTACTACTTTCAGACAGATGCCTGCTCTACATGAACTATTAGCCAGTTTCACTAATGTTTTTTATGATCTATAACTAAAAGAAAGTAGGTATATGAAAAATTCTATCTAAGTTCTAGGTCAACTTGTGTTTTATAAAAATGGAAATTTTCAAGCAGCATCAGAGATAACTGAATTCTATGGAAAACCCATACAAAAGACTACCTCTGGCAGAGCAATAGAAAAAATTTAGTAGCCTACACCTAACACTATTTAATGCACATTATGAAGATCAAGCCTTTTTTGTGCAATCTATATTAACACAGAATATAGGATTCTCATTTTTATTATTTCTCTTACCTTTAGAGTTGCTCCCACCCAAAAAGAATAGCAGGTGTCTACAGGCTTATTGGGTCTTCCATGATAACCATTTTGTTGCCTCATTATACACCACCTCTTTATTCTGTTCAATTCTTTTTCTGAAAAAACTTCTTCTAGTTTACCCATCAAACATAGTGATGCAATGCCACAAAAAGTAGATCCTCCTGTTAATCAGAATCACAGAAAGTTTTAAACTTCAAATTATCAAAACAGCACAAAATGGCTGGAGGAAAATGTGGTTAAGTAATTCTAGAAAATTTAAGTTTAAAAGACAATTATAATTTTAAAATAACCACTAAACGTATGTCTTCAATATCAATTTGATGAAACCACAGAATTTAAAATAATTTAATGCTGCAAGAATTATTTTACTTGTGACAAAAAGTAAGACTTGGAACAAGATTAAGGAACTTGTTCAAAATTACATGGTAGATGGCAGATTTGAAACTAAAATCTTAGAATACTAACTCCCTGTCCAAGACTCCATCACCTAAGTCAATTCAGGCCTTTAACAACAGAGTATTGCTTATAATTTGAGGTTCCATCAGCCTGAAGCTAAAATTTTCACATATACATACATAAACAAATTAGAAGCTGCTATGCAAGTCTGATGACTCATCAGCTTGAGAATTTTAAGGAAGAAAAGTATGAGGGGAAGAAAGAGGGATAGAGGAAACGCAAATATGAAAGTGGATATACATACAGTACAACTTTAAGATGCATCCATACTCACTGTGGTAGGCTGAATAATGCCTCTCAAAAATATCCAAGTCCTAATCTCTAGAACCTATGAATGTTACTTTATATGGAGAAAAGGACTTTGCAAAATGTGACTAAGTTAAATAATCTTGAGATGGGGGATTATCTTGTATTGGGTGGACCCCAAGTTACTCACCAGTGTCATTATAAGAGGGCAGAAGGACAAGGGAAAAGGAGGCAATTTGACTATGGAGGCAGAGAATGGAGTGCTGTGGCCAAAGGCAAGGAATGCCAGCAGCCACTAGAAGCTGGAACAGTCAAGAAACAGATTCTCCCCGGAGCTTCTGTTTGCAAGGAGTCAGCCCCGCTGATGGCTTGATTTTAGTCAAGTCTCAGTTAAGACTTAGTCACAGATTTACAGTTTTGGCTTTTAGAACTGTGAGAGAAGAAATTTTTGTTGTTTTATATCCTAACTCTGTGGTAAAATGTTACAGTAGCAGTAGGAAACTAATATACTCACAAAACAGTGAATTAAAACAGAAAAGTTAAAAAAAACCCTACATTTCTTTTAGAATAATTACTTTGCTCAGGAAATGAAAAGTCAACATATTTCCATAAAAATACAAAAACAAAAAAAACAGCTTCCACTGGCTTGTTGTCAATTCCAAACAATTTGAAAATACATATGCTTCCAATTTATTATAACTTCATCTAGTAATTTTTATTAATTTCAGCAACATAAATGGCTTATTCCTAATATCTCTCTCCTTTTTGTGTTAAAAATCTTGAATGTATTCTCTGGCAAAGGAAAGGCAGACAATGCCTCTAGAAAACTCAATCATATTAAAAGTATTACTGTCAGTAAGAACTATTTAATCTTCAAAAATTTTCCTAATTAGTTTGGGAGATCTATGTTAGTCTTGAGTGAATTAAAACAGAAAAGTTAAAAAAAAAAAAACCCTACATTTCTTTTAGAATAATTTCTTTTAAGTAATTATTAGTCTTATTTCCTCTTCAGTGATTGACTAGTTTCAATTTCTCTTTCATGGTAGCCTGGCCATGACTTTAAGTGTTATTGTATCATTAAATATAAAGCCTCTAATAGATAACATGCATTCTTTAAAACTGCAGAAAAGTAAAAAGAGGCATTAAAGTATTACTCTCCAAGCTGTCAGTTAGGATTCTTTAAAGCAAACAGACACAATTCAAAGTAAAAACACCTCTTTACTTTGTCTCATTATCTTACCTACATCAGGTAAGACCCTGGCCCCTAAGGAGTTTCTTGTTTTATACAAAATTCTAAAAAACTGGATTAAAAGTAGTATGTTAGAAAGATGTTAAATGCAGACATTAAAACAGCAAGAAAAGAAAACATGGTGATAATAAGTAAATTAAGAAATAGTATTAAAAGACGGGCACAAGAACGCAAATAGAATATCCTTTGGGGACTAAATAGGATTAGGTCAATGACCACTATATGCTTCCAAATACTTCAAGAATATTACAGTATTATATTCAAGTACAATACTAGAATTGCTTCTCATAATAACGATATTAATTCATCAAGAAAAGGCTAAATTGTGTTCATTATGCCTTAGTTGAAGATGCTACGAAAAAAACTTTAAGGATAACAGTAAGAATACTAAGTCACATACAAATAAGAGAATAAAGAAAAAGATTTTCATCTGAAATGGTTAAACGTTTGCCATCTTAAATGCTGTGCTTCGGTTATATGCAGAAGTAACATATGCAGAATATCTCAGTCATGAAAATCACAGCTGGAAGGGAACATGGAGTTTCTCTTACCCCAATTTTTCTGGGTATAATGGAGGTGTTCCTGACTTTAGTTCTATATACTATAATCTACTTGTATTTTAACATGGAATATTGTAAGTTAACTTATTGCACCCATCAGCTTTTACAGCTCAACTTTAAGCATTCTCTTAGAATTTGCATACATCAAGTTATCGAAAATAATTCATCCCTGCTGAAAAGTAAAAAATATATATATAATTTAAGGTGGTGGTCAAGAACCATGTAACTAGAGACGAAGTAGAAAACTAAATAAATAGGTACCTAAATAAGTACATCATTTTACACGTAAATACCACATGAAAAACGTGACGTAAATTCAAGGGCGTTGAATATTTAGATTTAACATTTCTCTTCTGGATTAAGAAATAGAGATATTTTTAAAAGAATCATGGAATCAAATTAATTTATCTGAACTTTTGCACTATGAATCCTGAGAGAAAAAAATAGTTTTATCTCTAGCAAAGTAGGGAAACCAAATTTTCCAAAACATATGAACATTTTACTCTACCCCTAATCTGAAAAGCTGAAATCCAAAATGTCCCAAAACCTGAAAATTTTTGAGCACCTAAACAATGCTCAAGGGAAATGCTCATTGGAGCATTTAGAACTGTGGATTTCTAGATTAGGAATGCTCAACTGGTAAATATAATGCAAATATATCCCCAAATCTGAAACACTTCTACACCCAAGAATCTCAGATAAGGTATACTCAACAAGTACCATCACAAGGGAATCAATAGGATAAAGAGAATCACCAAATCTGATGATCATGGCCTAAAAGGATACAATCTAAGCAATAGTTGGGTGAACGGCAGTTTAATTAAAAAGAGGAAAAAAACAAAAACAAACTCCCCCCGCAAACAAACAAGATATTAAATAATATTTAAATTGAGGAATTAAAGAAGAAGGGCATGAGAAGAAAAACTAAATTACTAACAAACTGTAGCCGAAGTACACATTCCAAATTCAACTTTCCAAGCGAGGAAGGCAGAGTGGGATACAGGACAACCAATTCATCAAATAGTATTCTACAGCACCACTGCAATGCACAAAGGCATACGGACATGAAGATGACAACTTACAATCTCGCAGAGATGAAAAGGTCATCAGAGATAAGTACCATAAAAATAATATGAACCATGAGTGGTAAGTATTATGGGAATATAGAAAAGGGAGAAACTGCTGAGAACTAGAAGAGAGAGAAGATGATGAAAGGTTTTACAAAGAAGGTGACAATGGAACTAGGTCTGGAAAGATGAATAAAACTGTGAAGGTTAAGAAAAGGGAAACAAGCCGGGCTCGGTGGCTCAGCCTGTAATCCCACGCCTTTGGGAGGCTGAGGTGAGTGGATTGCCTGAGCCCGCAGGTTCAAGACCCGC